CAATTTATTATAATTTAATCTTTCATTTTATTAAATACATTTTTGATGATACAATAACAATTTCTATTTATTTAATATATATTTTTATTTTATTTTATAAATAATACATTAATAATAACATAATTTGCAATTCTAATAATAATCATTTTTAAATATTGTTATATATTTAATGTATTATATTTTAATTTAATTGAAATAATAGTAATTTTATTTACATTTATTTTATTTTAAACTATTATTTTAAAATAATAGTTTTGTCATGTTTTTGAATATAATTTTTATTCAAGCAGCTGAACAGGGTTTGTCATTGAAAGTGTATTCTGCCTCATAATTACAGTGCGTCCAAACCAAGTGGTGCAATGTGTTTTCAGCAACATATACATTTTCCTGTTCTCAATGAAAGCAAAATACTGCACAAAGTATCATCCCAGCCAATCAGAACATACTTTAGATTTAATATGTAGCTATGTGTACACTTTTTTCATCCAATGACATTTCAGTGTGGGCAAAGATAGCCATCGGGACGCAACAAAGACAAGAGCACACTGGAACAGACTGTTTTATCTTTGCCCAAAGGCTACGACCATCAATCCTGAGTCTACGACTGAAGCAGAGCTGGGGGAGCTGGTGTAATTCCAGCCGTAAACAACAATGATGTGTGAGATGAAGAAGTCCCAGTTTTACCTGCATGTTGTTCAGTGGGGGACTCTGCTCTAGAGACCTTATGACCTTCAGCGACCTTCACAGCCACCGCTCGACAGATGGCCCCGATCTTCCTCTCCAAAGAGCGCACGCCTGCCTCCCGTGTGTACCTACAAACACGTTCACACACAAATCACTCTGTCATTACTGCTGTCACTGCTGGGCCGGGGCCATGTATTGATTGCTTTTTAGCAGATAATCATCCCAAAATTAGCAACCTCTGAGGTAATTAATTAGTTTGCTCTGCAAACATCTCTAATTGACGATCCCTAATGGACATTTAGAAGAGAAGTTTGGCAGCCTGTCATAAGATACGGTTTTGAAAGAGGGAGTGAGACAGCAGAGGATATAGTTTACAGGAGAAGACCCGGCTGGACAGTCCCATCTGTGACCCAAACTGCCCCTCTGTTTCAGCCTTAAGTGGTACTGTATATACAGTATCTCACCGAAGTGAGTACACCCCTCACATTTTTGTAAATATTTTATTATATCTTTTCATGTGACAACACTGAAGAAATGACACTTTGCTACAATGCAAAGTAGTGAGTATACAGCTTGTATAACAGTGTAAATTTGCTGTCCCCTCAAAATAACTCAACACACAGCCATTAATGTCTAAACCGCTGGCCACAAAAGTGAGTGGACCCCTATGTGAAAATGTCCAAATTGGGTGCAAAGTGTCAATATTTTGTGTGGCCACCATTATTTTCCAGCACTGCCTTAACCCTCTTGGGCATGGAGTTCACCAGAGCTTCACAGGTTGCCACTGGAGTCCTCTTCCACTCCTCCATGACGACATCACTGAGCTGGTGGATGTTAGAGACCTTGAGATGCTCAATAGGGTTTAGGTCTGGAGACATGCTTGGCCAATCCATCACCTTTACCCTCAGCTTCTTTAGCAAGGCAGTGTTCGTCTTGGAGGTGTGTTTGGGGTCATTATCATGTTGGAATACTGCCCTGCGGCCCAGTCTCTGAAGGGAGAGGATCATGCTCTGCTTCAGTATGTCACAGTACATGTTGGCATTCATGGTTCCCTCAATGAACTGTAGCTCCCAAGTGCCCAGTACTCCTTACCAGGTTGCCACCTCACACGCTTGACACCATCTGAACCAAATAAGTTTATATTGGTCTCATCAGACCTTTTTTTTCAGATCCTCAGATAGTTCTTTGCCATGAGGTGCTATGTTGAACTTCTAGTGACCAGTATGAGAGAGTGAGAGCGATAACACCAAATTTAACACACCTGCTCCCCTTCACACCTGAGACCTTGTAACACTAATGAGTCACATGACACCGGGGAGAGAAAATGGCTAATTGGGCCCAATTTGGACATTTTCACTTAGGGGTGTACTCACTTTTGTGGCCAGCAGTTTAGACATTAATGGCTGTGTGTTGAGTTATTTTGAGGGGACAGCAAATTTACACTGTTATATAAGCTGTACACTCACTACTTTACATTGTAGCAAAGTGTCATTTCTTCAGTGTTGTCACATGAAAAGATATAATAAAATATTTACAAAAATGTGAGGGGTGTACTCACTTCTGTGAGATACTGTATATAAATATATATATAGGCTGCAATATAACAAAGAGTGAAAAATTTAAGGGGGTCTGAATACTTTCCGTACCCACTGTATATATATTTTATCATGTAAAATATGTTGATCATGTATCACCAATATATTCACCATTTAAAGTCAATGCAAGTGGTATGTTAACTTACAAATACATGTGGATGGAGAAATGGGTTCATTTGTTAGTGTGTTTGATTAGCTCTTAAATGACAATGACTGCTCCTGTTTGGACACTTTAATCTCGCCCTTCTGTCCTCCATGTGAGTTATCAAGTGCCGTTATCAGTCTGAACCTCTTTAGAATACAAAACCCCGAATGTGTGTTTGTGTGTGTGTGTGTGTTTGTGTGCATACTTGCTGATGATATCCTTTATGGTGTCCTGTGGGATCTGGAGCTGTTGTGGGGTCAGTCCGTGCTGCTCCAGCTGATGAGGGATCAGGTGCCGATGGGCGATTTCTACCTTCTCCTCCTGGGTGTATCCTAATGAGACACACATGCTGATATTCAGAACACAAATTACAATAAACTAATCAAGTATTCAACTGCAAAACCATCTGCTTGGCCGTAGGATAGACTTAATTGTGTTTGAGTTAAAATAGCCAGGAATTAATCACTAAAAATGTCAAATCGTCAATGCCACATCCTGCTGTCTTTTTTGTTCGAAACTGAACTCTGACCTGGCACCTGGAGGACCTCCATTCTGTCCAGTAAGGCAGGGGGGATGGTGGCCGTGGTGTTTGCTGTGGCGATGAAGAGGACTTGTGAGAGGTCAAACGGCACGTTGAGGTAATGGTCGGTGAAGCTGTGGTTCTGCTCCGGGTCCAGAACCTGATAAAAGGTCACCGTTTATTTGCACAAAATTCAGTGCAGTTTATGGGGGGACTTCTTAAAAATACACAAACAGTTAAAATTCAGCATATTGCATAAGGAATGTTTTAACACAAAAGTTAGATTACAGTATTTTAACCGCATGTCAAATGGATCATGAACATGAACAGAAACTGCTCTAGCCTGAGGAGGTAACCATAGCAACAGTAGGCTACTCAAGCCCCTTCTGTTAGAATCAGCACTAGATGGTACATTAACAAAACTAACACTTTCATCATTTATTTATTTTTTTATTAAGGATTCACATATCATCATACAGTTCCTTGATACATATATTAATCAATACCAATAATATTTTTGTAAAATATTTGTATAGAATATTTATCTTAATACATGTTGCCATATCAAACAACAAGTCAGTAAGTTAAATGATGCCTCATGAATCTGAAGTATACTACATAACAGTAAGGCTTTATGTTCACCATAGCATTTTTTCCTGAGGCCACTTTGAAGCACTTTGTATTTTTAAAAATAGGTGCTGCTGAGCACTGTGCATGGGTTGTTTTGGTTGCCAAGAGTTGAAAAATTTAGGTAAAACACAGGGCTCGTCACTGTCACTTTGGTCACACTTTATTTTTATTCCAATTCTCACCATTAACAAACTATTAACTACGACTTTTGCCTCAATAAACTTCTGATTTGCTTCTTATTAGTAGTTAGTAAGGTAGTTGTTAAGTTTAGGTATTGGGTAGAATTAGGGATGTAGAATACGTTTATGCAGAATATGGGCTTTATAAGTACTAATAAACAGCCAACATGTTAATAATATGCATGCTAATAAGGAACTACTTAATAGTGAGAATTGGTCCTTATACTAAAGTTTTACTGTCTTTAGGTGCAAAAAAATCAAAATATTGAGAAAATCGCCTTTAAAGTTGTCCAAATGAAGTTCTTAGCAATGCATATTACTAATCAAAAATTAAGTTTTAATATATTTACAGTAGGAAATTTACAAAATATCTTCATGGAACATGATCTTTACTTAATAATAATTTTGACACATACAGTGTATTTTTGGCTATTGCTACAAATATACCCGTGCTACTTAAGACTGGTTTTGTAGTTCAGGGTCACATATATGTTTAAATAAATATTTAATAAATAAATTATGACATCCAGTGTGTAAATCAATATATTTCAACAACAATCAGAAATATTATAATTTAGAAGCAAATTTAAAAACTGCATTATGTGCATTTTACAAGTTTGCATACATTTTTTAAGTTGAGTCTTGATTATTATATTTAAAGGTGGGGTATGTATTTTCTCAAAAACGCTTTAGAAAACTGAGTCGGGCCGAGTACCAAAACAAACTTGTAGCCAGTCAGCCGTAAGGGGCGTGTCTACACATGATGCGGAGGAGAGAGAGCGCTCAGTGCATAGGACGGACATTAGCCGAGCCGAGCGACAGAGATGGCGGATAAAAAAAACAAAAGATGAAAACGTCTGCGGAACAAAAGAAGGCTTACGATAAGGCAAGATGTAGGACCCGTGTAAATTTCGGATCAGCTTTCCAGCACTGGAGAGAACTCAAGGAGCGGGAAGGCCTGCGATTGGACGGCGAGGTTGCTTTGTTTCTTCTCGATAGGTGAGTAACATTGGTTTTGCTTTGTTTCACAGAACTAATATATGCTGGCTTTTACTTGAATATGCTTGTGTGTCATGTTCGCTTGTTTGTTCATCTGCAATCGTATTGTCGTTCCCTTCAGCTATGATAACGACACATTCATTTCCACACCCTATAAGCCTGGAGCATCTAAACCTCCTCCACTGTCTGTTTCAAGGGTCAGCTCCCAAAGTGTGTCCGAAAAGATAATAAGTTTAATACAGCAGATAATAATATAGCAGATTCTGCCATAATCGTTGCCTGGGTTGCGTACGTATGTGTGGGGCGGAGCTATCAAAATAGGGGCAAGACCATTTTGGGGTAGGGGCGTGTTTGTTTTGGTGATTTGAAATATCAACATTGGCTACCAGAAATCACTTACCCCACCTTTAAAGATAAATAGCAATTGAATTTAAGTTTGCGCTCAGTTGTTAATTGTAACCTTATAGTTTGGAGCATAAGCTGAGGTAGGTTTTTATCCATAAGAAAATTGGAATTATAACTGAATTAATTTAAAGAAAGAGCAATTTGTACAGCAAACCACAGTTTAATAAAAAAAATAATAATAATAATAAATTATGTTTAGTGTTTCCCCCTGCTGTACCGAAACCATACCGAACCGTGATGTCAAAACCGAGGTATGTAACGAACCATCATATTTGTGTACTGTTACCCCCCTAATATATATAAATATATTTGGATTTCCTTGTAATCTGAGACTGGTCAAGGCAAGTAGCAGTTGTAACCTATATGTAGCGCCTCTCACCTCCAGCAGGGCGGCAGCAGGATCTCCCTGCAGGCTCTTCCCCAGTTTGTCCACCTCGTCCAATAAAAAGACAGGATTGTTTACCCCAGCAGTCTTCAGTCCATTTATAATGCGACCAGGCATGCTACCCACGTACGTGCGTCTGAGGACGGAGACACATGGAGATAAAGTGGGAGTGGGATGAAAGTATCGAGAAGGAGAGAAAAACGAAGTAGAAAATGTGAAAAAAAAAAGATCTGTATCAGTGCTCCGGTGGGCAAACAAAAGAAAAGATCACAATCATCCTACATAGCGACCTGAAGTGCAACTGTTTTGACGCAGTCCCATTCAGGCCGCTGTTGGCTGTCTGTAGGTGTTACTGCTGATGGAACATAATTGATGTGCTGCGTAACAGGTTATAGCATGAATCACAAATGCAATTTGAAAATGAATAAATATAATGAATAACTTCTTGATAATGTTGCTGGATGAGGCACGAGTGCATCTGATGTGGTTGAAAACACTAAAACTAGTATTTCATCCTACTGAACTGACAAAAGACAGGATGCGAAGACAGACAGGATGGAATTGTGCCCTAATTACAGTCATTAGGGGCTGTAAGACTGTCATTAAACTTTATACACTATACTGTAGTAAACTAATGCAGACTCTTTTAAAGTGGCATGCAATGAAGAAGACAAATGCAGAGAGTGTGCGGGAAAAGTCTCATAAAAGCTGTTTGTCCTAAGGACATATTTTCCGTATGTGAGTGTGAGGTCTGACGTTAACCAATCAGAAAACACGAAGGCTCGCCCTTGCCTGCAGGGTGTCATGATTGTTATCACCTTCTAGTTTCTAAAGTGACAAGAGATCAGAGGGAACATCAAAGAAGTCATCAGTGCAGGTCATGGTTTAAAGTTTCTCTCGTTATAGAAGGGGCACTACGTCACGTCTCTTTGGTGGGTTCATCACAGTCTGATACCTCAATCTGACGCATCTGCACACATTTGCATCGCCGCATGCTTCACATGTTGGTTGTGACTCACCATTTGATGGCAAAACAACGTCTGAATGGCTATATTGAGTTTCAGCGTCTGAAGGATCTTGGATTAGTAACGTAACACCAGGGTTAATCACAGTAACATCAGGGTTGGCTCACAAGTTTTTAGCTATGCACTGGAAATATGGCCTTTTTTAATAGTAATCTTAACAGATAGTTAATGTTTATATAGTACACACTATAGGATTGTGCCAATAGACGATAGTATCGTGTATTGATGATAGTCTAAGATCTCGCCTGTGGCTTGATCCCACTGACAATAGCAAGACACTTATTATTATTATTATTATTATCAGGCTAGTAATACTATATTAGGGCTTGATTTGTTCCATCATATTTCTTTTTCCGTGTTTTTACAGTGTTGCACGTTATAACCAATCACACACGATTCCGTTGCGTTTATGAACACAATGGCCAATCAGAGGCATTCAGATGAGTCATTGACGATTTTTTATTTTATTTTTGTTGTTTGTTGTTGTTTGCTGACTGAATTCAGCTCTCTCGCGTATTCTCTAATCATAAACAGCAAAATGCAGATGTACGTGTGATGTAAGTATAAGAGATTTATTCATCATACAGTATAGACATCTTCACTGATTATAACAGAAGTGTTTTTTTATAAGTGCATAAACTCGTGCAAGTCAGTGATGGTGATGCATGTTCTTTACTAGTTTTCTGTAGCAGCTGTTTGAATAACTGAGGAAATGTAATATTATAATTAATAACATACAATTTTTCTATTCAATTGTTATCATGTTAAAAACAAATTCAGTCATATTAAAAACATTAGGCTGCTTTCAGCCTTACGCTGGAGTTGGTTCACTTTCTAGCAATGAAATTATGTATATAAATAAATTAGCACGATAATATCATGTATCGGTGATCTCGCAGGCTAACGATAGGACGATATGACAATTAAACATATTGTCCAACACTAACACACTATCTTTCAAAGGTTTGGGGTTAGTATGATTGTTTTGGAAAGAAATCAATACTTTTATTCAACAAGGATGCAATAATTTGACCAAAAAGTGAGCGTGAAGTCTTTTACATCGTTACAAAAATATTTTAAATAAATGTTGTTCTTTTATTCATTAAAGAATGATTCATTAAAGTTTCCACAAAAATATTAAGCATGTTTTCAAAATTGATAATAATAAAAAATGTTTCTTGAGCACCAAATCAGCGCATTTGAATGACTTGATCATGTGACACTAAGACTGTAGTAAAGGCTGCTGAAAATTTGCCATCACAGGAATAAATGGCATTGACAGTTGTTTTAAATTGTAAAAATATTTCACAATATAACTTTTTGATCAAACAAATGCAGCCTTGGTAAGCATAAGAGTCTTCTTTTTAAAAAAATCTTACCAACCCCAAATTTTGAACTATAGTGTATATTTATGTGCAGTCAGACTTTTGATTATCAGCCTAAAGCCTACTTATTCTGTCCAAGAAAAGCCTTCATAAAATAGAAGGATTTGTCTGACCTGCATGTAAAATGACCAACCACAGTTTCTTCTTCAAAGCAGTCTGACACTGAGACTACATGTATCGTATAGCATACCTGTTTGAAGGTCAGACATTGAGTGTACCACCTTTATAATGACCTCTCACCTGTGGCCACGGATGTCAGACTGATCACAGACTCCTCCTAAGGCGATGCGATGGAACTCTCGACCCAGAGTGCGCGCAATGGAACGCCCAACGCTGGTCTTTCCCACACCAGGGGGTCCCACAAAACACAGTATGGGACCCTTAAGGGTGCTCTTGAGCTGCCGCACTGCCAGATACTCCAGCACCCTTCTCTTCAGCTTCTCCATGGCATAGTGATCATTATCCAAGAGCACCCGCGCCGCAGGGATGTCCAGGCAATCTGATTAGACAACAATGACAGACATGAGAGTTAACATAATGCAGATATACACTACCGTTCAAAAGCTTGGGCTCAGTAAGAATTCTTTTCAAAGATATTTATTATTTTCTTTAGCACGGATGCATTAAATTGATCACTAAAAACATTTTTAATGTTACACAGGATTTCCATTTAAAATTAATGCTGTTCTTTTAAACTTTATATTAATCAAGGAATCATGAAATAATATTAAATGATTGTTTTTAACTTTAATAATAATAATAAATGTGCTTGAGCTCTAATCAGCATATTAGAATGATTTCTAAAGAATCATGTGTCACTGAAGACTGGAGTAATGGCTGCTGAAAATTCAGCTTTACCATCACAGGAATAAATTACATTTTAAAATATATTCAAATAGAAAATAGTTATAATAATATTTTGCTATATTCCCTTTTTTTCTTCAAATAAATACAGCCTTGGTGACAAAGTGTCTTCTATTAAAAAAAAAAAAAACAATTTACAAACTCTATTTGAACTGTAATTTAAAATAATAATAACAACAAAATAATGCATATTATTGCTTGAAATTGCAACAGCTTGAAATACATAATAAATATATTAGTTATTGCCTTTTCTTGTCATTAATTGATAATAAATTGCTGATAAATTTTCTAAAATTACACAAACAATATCTATGCACAATTGCTTCAGCCCTTGATTGCACGTATGTTGTAAAAAATTCTGAAAGGAATGTGAATATTTTATCAAAGACATATGCATTTCCACCGCCTGATGTAATAAGACACAGACATGTATGCAGCTGTCTCAAAGTAAACCTTAACTGGGCACAGAATTTTCTTTATGGTTCTCACAAATCATGGATTGTCTATTCTGTATTTACAGCAGAACATTCCTGTAAGGCCAGACCTCTCTATTCCCAGCTTTCAATCGCCGATCTAAACCACTAAATCAGTTTTCTTTTAATGCAGTCCCACCCTTGAGCGTTGAGCTTAAAAGACTGTGAAATAGACTTCATGTACATGAGACTTTCCCAGCAGAATTCCAGCCCCAAGGCCTGTTACACATCTAGCAAGGGAAATTCAGAAGTGTGTGTGTGTGTGTTTGTGAGCACATTGAATCACATGTGCATGTTTGTTTGAGCCCCTCATGGATAGTCAGATATCTTATTTCAAGGCAAGCTATAACCTTAGGATAGTAAGTAATGCATACATTTTTGTACATGCTTCTGAGTTTGCAAGTAAGTAGTTAAAAAATAGTTGCAATCCAGCACATGGAAAAATGACAAAACAAAGAACATTAAAGAATATAAATGTATGTTTAATGCTTCTCAGCATATGGTCAAACACTCTAGCTGTGCTTGGCAAGATAATTTGCTGTACTTGAGTTCTCAGCGTCCTCCATGTGGCCATGGAGAACATGACAAGAATAACACATGTAAACAGTTCAAATCTCTCTCCACCTCTAGACTGAGAGCAACTCATTTCACAAAATGTGGTAAAAGACTCCCTCTACTGGTGGTTCAGAAGTGTGTGTGTGTGTGTGTTTGTGAGCACATTGAATCACATGTGCATGTTTGTTTGAGCCCCTCATGGATAGTCAGAGATCTTATTTCAAGGCAAGCTATAACCTTAGGATAGTAAGTAATGCATACATTTTTGTACATGCTTCTGAGTTTGCAAGTAAGTAGTTTAAAAATAGTTGCAATCCAGCACATGGAAAAATGACAAAACAAAGAACATTAAAGAATATAAATGTATGTTTAATGCTTCTCAGCATATGGTCAAACACTCTAGCTGTGCTTGGCAAGATAATTTGCTGTACTTGAGTTCTCAGCGTCCTCCATGTGGCCATGGAGAACATGACAAGAATAACACATGTAAACAGTTCAAATCTCTCTCCACCTCTAGACTGAGAGCAACTCATTTCACAAAATGTGGTAAAAGACTCCCTCTACTGGTGGCTCCCTCAAACAGTTAGATTAAATTAGTTATGTTATCTAAATATTCAGTTAACTCAACTCTAAGCAAATTATTTAAATACAACATTTAACATTCTATTAACCCTTTAAAAAAATTCAACCAGTTTATTATACATATAATGGTAACAATTACATAGGCCATTTAGAAATATATATTACCATTAAAAAAATCTGGGGATGGTAAGATTTTTTGTTTTTGAAAGAAGCCTCTAATGCTCACCAAGGCTGCATTTACTTGATCAAATTCAACCAGTTTATTATACATATAATGGTAACAATTACATAGGCCATTTAGAAATATATATTACCATTAAAAAAATCTGGGGATGGTAAGATTTTTTGTTTTCGAAAGAAGCCTCTAATGCTCACCAAGGCTGCATTTACTTGATCAAAAATACAGTACATAGTAATATTGTGGAATAGTATTAGAATTAAAATAACAGGTTTCTATTTTAATATATTTTAAAATGTAATTTATTCCTATGAGGGCAAAGCTGAATTTTCAGCCTACATAACTTCAGTCTTCCGTGTCACATGATCCTTCAGAAATCATTCTGATTTGGTTGTGCTGCTTAATATTTTTTGAAACCATAATTTTTCCAAGATTATTTGAGCAGTAGAACAGCATTTATTTGAAACAGAACACTGTAACACTGTAAAAGTCTTTACTGCTCTTTTGACCAATTTAATGCGTGATGTTGAAAAAAATAAAAAATATCTCCAAGCATTAAAAAAAAATGTTACTTTAAAAAAAAAAAAAATAATAATACTTTTTAAATACCCAAACTTTTACTAGTTTTAATATTTTAAGATGGATTATGCATGGATGGAATAATTAAATTTCTTATTGCTATACTTAAATACCACGTATTTTATTATATTTAGCATTATATAAAATGTAGTATAATATACTACTTTAAGGTTAGACATAAATATGTTTAATAATGAATAATAAGTGAGCAATTCTATTTGTAAACTCCGTTCCAAAAACAAAGATGGATGTATACAAAAACGCAAATACATTTTGTTCATTTTATTTTATTTTATTTTTTAATTGTATTTTATTTTATTTTCCTTTCTAACCTGTAGTGCTCTTGCTCCAGGGAAGCTCTACCATCATCTCCAGATAGTTGCGGGTGAGGGCATACTCTGGCATGGACTGTGGCATCTTTTTTAATCTGTGTAAAAAAGAAGAAAAAAAAACATTCTCTGAGAGTAGGGTAGATGAGGAAGAAATCCTGGGAGGAACCATTTTGGCAGGGGGAGCCATTAATGTTTTATTAATTAAGATATTGATTAAACTGTAAAGAAATTGACTTCTTTGCAATACATTTAAAGACAACAGAACAGATGCGGGCACTGGTCAGCGAAAAGTCCCATTGCCGTCTAGCACGTAGCTAACCATGAAATGTGGTTTCCTCTAAAAAAATTACCAGAACGTACCGTTTTAGCTCCTTGAGACACACACGCAGTGCTGCTTCCGGCATAGCTGCTGCCTTCACCTTCTTCTCCAGCATAGCCGTGTCATCTCCATCTTCATCCTCTGCCTCCTCATCCAGCGAGAACTGACGGCCTGGGAACACACCACCTTTACGGATGGCCAACACCTAGGAGAAAGAAGAAGGACTGTGTAATAGAACAGGATGTGTGGTGGAGGGTGTTTGTGAGGCAGAGAAACACATGTTGGCCTACTCTCTTGTCATCGTCAGGTCTGCGTTTGCGGGTCTTTTGCAGCAACTTGAGCCCCTCGATTTGTCTGGTGAGCAGAGGAAGAGCCTTCTTAAACCGTTCTTCCAAGTCTACTGCATCTAGCACCTGCCAACAAACAAAAATATTAAAATAAAGGCATATTTAGTTGTTGTATGATCACACTAGTCAAAGCATTTAACACAAACAATAACCCTTTTTACTGCAGCACCTGCAGTTTCTCTTTGTTGGAAGTGCGGATCATGGAGGCCAGGACATCCGGTAGGGTTTCTCTGGGCAGACTGTCCAACAGCCTCCTGAGTTTAGCCACCACAGGTACTGACATGTCCAACATCCCAACCAGCTGGACAAAGAGAGACCAGACGACACTGTCAATACACTGAATGAAAAGCCTACATGCAATGAATCATCCTGCAGCATTTGGCAAAGAATGAAGCCTTTATATTCATTCAGTGTTTAAATGATGACTCACTCTATAGATGAATGGTGCCAAATGGGGGGGGGGGGGACATATTTTCTTCAGTCATGAAAAAATGATGTCCTTGATTATTACTATTGTTCATATCTCTTAGCAATATCTTTTTTGAAAACTTTGGATGCCATTTAAGAACCTTTTTTATTTAAATTGCAGTCCATCACACGACAAATTTAGCAAATTCTCAAGATGGATATTTTTGCTGTTAAAACAAAACAAAACAAAAGAAGTGTTTGGTAAAAGTAGGTAAGTGACCTGATTGGTTACCGGAGATCTTGAGAAAGAGACAAGATTATTGATTGACTTATTATTTATGCATTTATTTATTTTAGTGCTATCAAATGATTAATCGCGATTAATCACATACAAAATAAAAGTTTTTGTTTGCATAATATATGTGCGTTCTGTGTATATTTATTATGTGTATATATAAATACACATACATACAGTATATATTGTGACAATATTTACGTGTTTTTACATGTCTATATTTATATTCATATAATTTATATTATAAATAAATATATTTAATATATAAACATAACATATTTTTCTGAAATATATACATGCATTTGTGTGTATTTATATAAGCATAATAAAGCACTAATTTATTTAGGCATTTATGTTACAAAAGACTTCAGTTCTTTTGAAATTTCAAAAGAAAGTTCAAGTTCAAGACTTCAGTGTTCTTTTGAACACTGCTCCGGGTGTGTGTTCACTGCTGTGTGTGTGCACTTTGGATGGGATAAATGCAGAGCACTAATTGGGTCACCATACTTAGCCACATGTCACGTCAAATAAAATAAAATAAAATAAAACAAATATTTATCAAAGAACCCTGAAAAAAAATGTAACAGTATTCACAGAAATATTAAGCAGCACAACGGTTTTGTTCACTGGTAATAAGAAATGTTTCTTGAGCACCAAATTAGTATATTAGAATGATTTCTGAAGGATCATGTGACAATGAAGACTGTAATATCTGTTGGAAATGTAAGCTTAGCCATCACAGGAATATATTACATTTAAAAAATATATTATAATAGAAAAAAAGCTATTTTAAATTGCAATAATATTTCACAATATTGCTGATTTTCCTGTATTTTTGATCAAATAAATGCAGACTTGGTGAGTGTAAAAGACATCCTTCAAAAATATTTAAACGTTTTAACATTATACTATATTATACAAAGGTGTATCAAATGAATAATATCTGTGATTTCAGGACACTGTGGTAATAGCCTGGCATTTTTATAGACTAATAACAGAATCATAACAAAAACAAAAATGCAGGTTCCTTTACTCCTGACCTGTAGAGCCGCCTGATGGAACCTCAGCGACAGCTCCCCCAGCTCTCCATCAGCCTGATCTCCCTCTGTGTACTGCTCCAGTTTGTCAAGCTGTTCCACCTCGGCCACGGGGAAGGGTCTCTCTCTCAGCAGCTGGGTCACACGAAAACGACACAATCCCGTAATGAGCAATGTGTAGTGCGGTTTTGGCCAGTTGCTGCCCACAACCTGGACTGCCAGTCCTGCTGTGCCAATACTGAGAAGACAGAAGTACAAATTCAAGTAATGAGCCCTGAGTTTTGTTTCCTATCAAATCTAATTTATGATATCTGAGTAGGTTTTATGACAACCCTGCCATCTAACAGAGGCACCGAACATACTGAATAATGATTATAAATAAAAAACAATAATTTTGTTTCCATTTAAAATTCTTCTAGACATTGAAATTGTGTATTACAAAAGTTAAAATGAGTTAATGTACACATATTATGTACTGCATATTGGAAATTCTGGCCGTGTGTTAAAACCTAGTAAGCTGCCAACCAAGACAGCATCACAATCTGGCTTGGAAATGCTTTCATGATTATTGGATAAGTATTTAAAAATATATATAGATTGCTGGGGAGGATCTCCATTTTGTATGGAGGATATATGGCTTTCTAAACCACCATGCAGAGCATAGCCAGAGAACTTTAAATTTGCTATAACATTTATATGACTGTTAACATTTTATATGTATATATTTACATAGCATTTACAAGCTCGGGCTTTTTTTATATTCTCTTATATTTTCTTTTTTACTTTGAGACAGCCATTGGTTGCTGACAGAGCATAGCAGACTCGCAAGGTTAAAGTCCAACTGCTGCTCAAACGAATATTCTAGTAAACAAACATTGCTGCTAGTACTCTGTAACGTAAGGAAATAAATAAACAAACAAACACATTCTGAGGGTAAAGTTCAGTGAACATAAAATAGTATCTTCCACGCTTGTCAGTCCTCACCCTAACAAACATTAACGTTACCATGGAAAACAAAAGTTCTGGGAATATGCAAAAGTGACACATTATAAACCTTCACAATACAATAAAAGTTACCCATTGTTTTTTTTATCATAAAATCATAACAAATGACCTCCTTCAAATTGTTTCATAAGGAAACTCAATGACAGTTGCCTCACACTGGTTCTGCAGCGGGTTTGGCCGTCTCTGGCAGCACAGACCCACCTATGTAAGGACGGGAGCTCATCGCTGTCGTGCTCGGGGTCTCTGGTGTTAGGTATAACCCCGATGATGGTGCTTTTTAGCGAGGTGCCCTTCAGCAGTCTGCTCTTGACTAACTGCATGTTTCTCGCCGTGTCGACGCTGATTCTCATGGTCGAGCCCGGTAACAGCACTCCATCATGAGTGCACAGCAAAGGCAGCCGGCTGGGGATTTGAATACCACTATTGGATGACATTTTGTAGGGTTTGGATAGACCTTTAAAGTTTAAAACTACTAATCGCAGTGAACTAAGGTGCAAGGAACGCCTTCATCGTATGACAAACTGGGGCAAATGAAAACAGGAAGCTGGAACTACGGCAGGTGCAGTAGGACAATCTTAATGTGCAAACAGAAACGCCTACTTTTTGTGAAACCACGCAGAATGCAGCCAAATGTACACTGTGTTCTCTCTCTTTGTACTGTGTTCACTTAAATATGTTTTGGGGACGCGGTTGCAAAATCAGGAAAGAACGGGGAAATTTTGAGGCGGTCGGGCCGGGGTCCATTAAAGGGGCTCCATTAAACTTCAAATTATTAAATATACTAAAACAATCTAAGATAAATGCCTGAAAACGCTAAAAAATTACAATATGTAAACATATTTCATGTTTTAATTTGTCCCCACAACAATTTTTTTAATTGATTTGTAAAAATTCTAAACTCACAGAGCTACTATTCTATTCTATTCTATTCTATTCTATTCTATTGACAGTCCTGGTTTCTGTTCTACTTGCTGTACCAGAGGAAATAGCTTAAACTACAAGGGATATATTGATACAATGGGGAGGTCACCTTCTTGGCTTCAAAAATGTTGAGAACCACTGCCTTAGAGGACCATAATGGTCCTGCTTATCACAGGGCTCAGGACCAGTGTTAATGTAATATTATTTATATACTATTATAATATAATATTTTATATTAGTTTTCATTTTAATTTTAGTTTGTGATTAGTATGTGCTTTTGTTTTTACTTATTTTAATTACATTTTATTATTATTATTATTTTAAATATTTCTATTTAGCTTTTTATTTCTGTTTTAGTTAAACTTTCATTTCAGTTAGTTGCCAGGCAATGCTTATGTTTAGTTTACATTTTTAAATTTTTTCACCTATTATTTATTATATTTTATTTTAGCTTTATTTCAATTAACAAGATTTTACGTTTTTGCTTTTAATAGTTTTCGCAACATAGCAACATACTCATTTTGTTTTCTGTTTTTTCCTTTAAAAACACTAATTTTTCTTTTAGGGTTAGTCTACAGTGCTTATTATTAGCTTTATAAAATAATTTAGCAAATGTCATTACCTCCATATAAAAATAATTTTATTTTATGATGTTGTCACTGATATAGTAAAGCCAACGGGTACTGTATGTGTGTGAAAGGTGAGAGTGTGTTTGTAAAGAAACCAAACCCATATCTTCAAACAAACCATACATCTGAACACGTGGGGGTGATAGTGGGAGGTTTATTTTCCAAGCCATGTTACAAAAGTTATCAGAACATTCTGTGGCAAGAGTCCAAATAAATAACGTAGATTAAAATCTGTGTATAAAACATATGCAACCCTGATATCAAACCCTCTTGATCACCTTAAAAAAAACTTTTTATAGAAATGCTTTGGTGCAATCTTTCAACATTTGACCAGCAGTAAAGCACAAAGTAAAGAGCCTCTGGGTAAAAGCAACAATGCCTGACTAAGCCAGCAGTCAGCAGAACATTTGCATGCAAATGATATGTGTACAAAAGAAGCTCCACGTTTTTTATACATCTTATCTAAATCTTACCAAGAACATTTACAACGTGGCAATGATAATATACTGTTTTGGCATACATCAAGGACAAAATATGGATTTTCCTCAGAAATATAAGTCACAGTGGCAAAGACTTTTTTGGAATTACCAATAGTAAATGCTACAGCGAAGAGTCAAAGCTGCTCTCCTCCACAGAGCACACACACACAGTGCATACATGATTGTATATTAGCTAAATACCACATAAATAGTTGGCAGGCAGGTGAATGGAGGTATGAATGTTCTGAATGATGGAGAGCAATAGCTGCAGGGTCAGTAGGGTGTCTTCCAACTGGTAGGACGGCCGTTGCATTTTTCCATATGGGTAACACCGATGGAGGCAGTCAGTGACTTCACTAGGACAAGAGGCACACAAGCATGCTGCGTGTCACTACATAAACTGGGTAACACCCTTTTACACCTACACCAGCAACACGAAGACAGGATCAGATCCGTTTAGATCTGCTGCTATGTAGTTTTCTTCCCTTTCCTCCAGTTGAGGACTTCACAATCTAGAAATGAATAAAGAGAAATAGTACAGATAAGTGGTCACATATTTTAATGTCACATCTAAAGATGAGTTGCTCATTAGAACGTCTGGATGAAATTAAGATAACCCTCAAAAGAAAGGCTCCAATTCTTTTGCTCTTTAAAAGAATCAATTAAAAAATTATAGGTTATGTTGATACTAATGATTTTCATGTTCAGGGTTACCACTGTAACGCCATTTCACAAAAAAGTTGGTAGAAGGCACAGACCAGGCATGTTCAGGCTAGTAACAACATGTGGGCTTTCTAAAGTACTTTACATCCTTCAGACAACCTCAAAGCCTGAATCATGCCACCATCGCATTCATCATGGAGGGGATAAAGACGTTGATTCAATCCCCTAGCATTTTTTCTCATTCACAATGGCTGATGGTCGACCACAGACTCGCATCAACAAACAGCAAAAGTTTCCATCTTTTTGCTACTGTGTGCGTTCATTTTGGGATTGCATGAGGTTATCAACAAACGTTTGGCAGACTGGTGGAAGAACCCGTCTTGAGGTTGGACTGCAAAAATTCCCCAATCCTTTCCAAGTTGTAGCAATCATTATAGATGGACCTCAACTGTCTTACCTCAAACCCTAAAAATACAAATGAGTAAGTGCCATAATTCCCCAAAAGATTCCAGATCCCAAAAACACGTAGTCTGTGTTTTGTGGAATTGATTCAGTGAACCTTCACCCAGGTGAAAAACGTAACCAATCAATGTTTAGCAGATCAATATATTGTCTACAGTACCATAAATGTAAAGCAAGCAGGTTCCATTAATATATACCATTGTACTATTTTCACTTACAATCATAATTGTCGTCCTCTTTTGAGAAGCACTCTTTGAACAGGCAATGCATGGTCCGATAACAGTTGTCCAGTATTGACTTGGGTGTAACAGACTTCCATCCCTCGTAATATTGGTCTGTCAAGCGATCCCAGATGTTTTCTATTCTCTCTGGAAGTACTCTCTTTTTTTAAATAGGTACAAAGACACACACATTTAGATTATTATGATCTTAAATAATGGGAATATATCACTCAAATGACAAATAACATCAGCAACACAGATTGGACAGATTCAAAAGGTCAAACTGAGTTTTATTAAAACTAATGCTTGTATTCAAGAGAGTGAGCTTAGAGATACTGTAAGCAGTGGCAATGACAGACAGAATGATTTATAATGTGCTGCTGTTAAGAAAAGAGATATCACATCATTGTTCTAACCTCTTCATCTATGGGGTTCTTTTGTTTATAAAGCTCCTCAAAACGTCTGAAGAGATTCTCCAGTTTGGAGAGGTATTTACTGCGTGTAGGATGTCTCTCTGGCAGCACCCTTAAAACCCTCTTTATCCCCTGCTGATTAACCCAAAGCCACAAATCCTGTAGATCTCTCTGCTGCACTGGCTCCTCTTCATTACTCATATTCTAGAGAACAGAGTGAGAGATGAACAAGATAAGAAAGAGGGAATGAGAAGAAGAGGAACGGTATAAGGGAAATGTTCAATCATATTAGAATTGTTGTGCTTTATAGGCATGTATTTTTTTTTTTACAATGTCAGAGTCCCGTAATGTTAGTTAGGTCTAAGGTCACAGGGTTTATGCCAGGTCAGGTCAAATTCGGTTCAGAATATATATATAATATATACGTGTGTGTGTGTGTGTGTGTGTGTGTGTGTGTGCGTGTCGGTCTGTCTGTCTGTCTGTCTGTCTGTCGATCTATCTATCTATCTATCTATCTATCTATCTATCTATCTATCTATCTATCTATCTATCTATCTATCTATCTATCTATCTATCTATCTATCTATCTATCTATCTATCTATCTATCTATCTATCTATCTATCTATATATATATATAGAGAGAGAGAGAGAGAGAGAGAGAGTTGTTTACCAGATACCAGGAACAAAATGCTATAATTTTCCAAATGTTTTGTGTATTCCCTTTTTTAATAGCAGTATACAATATAACATCGGGGGTTAAGAACTTATAGCTCTTAAAAAACATTCTTGTATTTCTTGTACTCAGTCCATTAAAAAAACTACCTAGATGATTCTTCTATTACATATATATTGTTTGATATATTTCTATCTGTTCTTTTATCCATTTTATATAATACTGTAATACAATTATTTACTTTATTCTGCATTGCTCTATTTATTATTATTATTATTATTATATTTTAGTGATCTAGATACAGTATGTCTAAACGAGTTTTGTGAGATTCACCCCTGTATTTTTGCAAATGCTGAGTCACAGGCCTTGAGAAGCCCTAAAACTGTAATTCCAATCTGACTCTATTATAAGTCACGAGTCTTAAATATCTGGCAATAGGTGACAAACAGGAAAAATTAGCTAATTTGTGTGGGAAGTTGCGAAGAGTGTGGCTTTAAGTGAGTCAAAGCGTTGGTTGGGGACAGTGTCAGTGGGATAAATACTTACCAGCCTGCTGATGTTACGTAGTCTGAATACCTCTTCATAATGCACTTGAATAGTATAGTTAATGGGAAAGTTCATTTTCTGTAAATATACATGTAAAACCTTTTATTGACATGTCATTCATTCTGTCTCATGCTATATTAAGTTGTAGCCTATATTTTTCTTTTTTTCCCCATGTAAACTTAACAAAAGCCTAAAAGCCTACAACTTTTAAAATATAACACTATCGTTTAAAAAATTAAACATGTTTACCATAAAACGTCTCCTTAGGGTTGCATTTAGGCTGTCCCGTACCGTTTTCAGAGATACACAGAGATCTGGTGTTGCACTCATGCTGACTGGTAATAGACAAATAAAACCTAGAAGGACAGAAGAAGAAAATAATGGCTTTTAACATAATGCCATTGCCTATAATAAAAACCATCATGAAATGATTGTTGTTGTTGAACTTCAAATGATTTTATAGGTAATCAAAAAGCCTGTACCTTGTCTAGTATTTATACAAATTTTAAAGTTAAATTTATTCAAAAAAGGTTTGAAGATGCAATATATATTTTAA